ATATAGGTAGGTACATTGTTATTAACTTAATTAGGGTACTCCTAAGGCTTAGGAAGAGCCACACTCAAGGGGCCAAAGAGCCGCATGTGGCTCTCGAGCCGCAGTTTGCCAACCACGGGGCTAGGGCTTTTCCTCATTCTTGTGGATCCTGTGGCCAGGTTGTTCACACAGGGAAGGTGTGAGTGTGTGGAAATGCCTGAGTAACCCCAGGTGTAGGACCAGCTCAAGCTCACTTACAAACTGCTTTGAGCAAATACTTCTCTTTCTCTTTGTCAATGCAGTGTTGATGGGGGAGTCTATTCCGAAGCAGTGTTCCTTGTCCCTGGATTTCACAGCATGGGTTTACATTTATTTTTATTTTTTTAATATATTTTATTAATTTTTTACAGAGAGGAAGAGAGAGAGATAGAGAGAGAAACATCGATCAGCTGCCTCTGGCACATCTCCCACTAGGGATGTGCCCGCAACCCAGGTACATGCCCTTGACCGGAACCGAACCTGGGACCCTTCAGTCCGCAGGCCGACGCTCTATCCACTGAGCCAAACCGGTTTCGGCTACATTTATTTTTTGATTCACAACATCACTCATCTTGATTCCTATTTCATTTGTAAAATGGAGATAATATTGTTATTTGTACCTTCATAAAGCTGTTATGAGGATTACACAAGTTCCTATTTGTAAAGTCCTTCAAACATGTTCGTGTGCCCTTAAAATTAGTGTATGTGTTATGTAAGTATTTATTACACATTACGGTTTGAAAACATTAAAGAGGCATTTCACATACGAGACAAATGTAGCCCCGTCCTGATGAGGAAACTGAACAGCCCCGTACAATCCAGGGAGCTGCCCTGTTCACCCTTCAGTGATGTTTGCTGGGCCTGCCCCCCAGCTCCCGACTCCCTCTGTGAGCACTTCCTGTCAGATAAGCGTGTTTTCTAGTTGCCTAAATCCAGGATACTGCCCAGGCTTTTTTTGTTTTTCTTTCTTAATAAATCCTTATTGTTGGAAGTATGACATATGTCCCCCTTTCTCCCCCTCATTGACCCCCTCAAGCCTGCTCCCACCCCCCGCCCCAGGCCCTCACCGCCCCATGCTGCCCCGGATTCTTTAGGCCCATCCTGGTCAGCGTAAACATGGTTTTTCTTCTCTGAATTTGTTTTCTGTATCACTGAAGGCATATTTATCATGTTTATGTTCCCCTTACATCTGATTAGTTTAATTCTTCATTTCTGCATCTAACAGTAAAAACCTACTGTGTGCCAGGCAAATGCAAATTCTTTTACAAAATACTCTCACTTCCCAAAGAACTCCTCAAGGATAAAGTCCACGCTGCTTTCCTTCCAGATTTGACGACCGAAGCTGTGAGTGTCGCTATTGCAGCACCTCCATCCGAAGGAGAGGCTAACGCTGAGCTCTGTCGGTATCTCTCCAAGGTCTTAGAACTCAGGAAGAGTGATGTGGTTTTAGATAAGGTAGGTGTCTCTTTCTCTCTTTTATATCTTTTCTTAAAATCCTCACCTGAGGGTATGTTTTATAGATTTTTTGAGAGAGAGAGGAACAGAGAGGAGAGAGAGAGAGAGAGAGACAGACAGACAGACAGACATGGATTGGTTGCCTCGCATACGGCATCCTGACCAAGAATTGAAACCGCAACCTAGGTATGTACCCTGATCAGGAATAGAACCCACAACCTTTTGGTTTACAGGGTGACGCTCCAACTAATTGAGCCACCTGGCCAGGGCTAAATGTCTTTGATTATTACACTTCAGTTATTTAAAAAATACTGATTTTTTTTCTTTTCCAAGTAATTGAAAAACTAGTTGTTTTTCATTGTCATATTCATTTAAGCCCTAAAATCTAAAATCTGGACTCTTCCTATCTCACCGCCTTCATTTCTGCTGCATCAATCCTCATTAAGACTGTCCATGCACACCTCTTACATTCCTCAGTGGCCACCATTTCCAGCACTTTCTCCTGTACCTTTTCTGTCAGATTAATTTTGCTCCTCTCTTCCTTTGAATCACCGTAATAAACAATCCAAAATGGTTCGTATTGTTGGCATCTCCCTTAGTGAGTCCGTCAAGTGTTTCTGGTCCTGCACATTACCCGTGCTCACGGCTGAAAGCTCCTATGAAGTCATTCATACCACAGGTTTGCACTAGGGGTGGACATCATGACCACCTGGGAATGATTTCTCAAACTCAGGTTCTTGGGCATCACCCTAGAACAGTGACGGCGAACCTTTTGAGCTCGGCGTGTCAGCATTTTGAAAAACCCTAACTTAACTCTGGTGCCGTGTCACATATAGAAATTTTTTGATCTTTGCAACCATAGTAAAACAAAGACTTATATTTTTGATATTTATTTTATAGATTTAAATGCCATTTAACAAAGAAAAATCAACCAAAAAAATGAGTTCGCGTGTCACTTCTGACACGCGTGTCATAGGTTCGCCATCACTGCCCTAGAATTACTGAAATAGAATCTGCAGTAGTGAGACCCGACCCTGTCTATATCTCTTAAAGCTCAACTTGTTTTCCAGTGCTACACTCTGTAGCTCCCATCCAGGTTCCAGCTGGCATCCAGTCATTGATTAATAGGCTGCACCTGAAAATCCATTGCACACCAGGCCCCTCATTGTCCACAATAGTTGGCAGGTCTTTTCTGGTTTTCTGCCAGTGTGCATGCTCTGCTATTTGCTTGTAAGGCACTCCCCACTCTTCTACCTGAGAACTTCTACCCAACTAGATAAATCCCTGCCTCGATTTACCTTTTTTAAAGGATGTGTTTCAAAACAAATGGTTTTCAATAGTTGCCTTAAGTGGTTATGGAATCCCAGCACTTAATATGTGAATTTTTTTTTTAATTTTCAGAAGTGTGTAACAGCATAGAGAGTAACAATTTGTTCTGTATTTTGGAATTATTTTTTTATT